CACAATTCCCCAAATTCTGTTGTATTTCCATCTTCTGGGCTTTTGCCTCCTTCTGATTAGAAATGGGAGCACTGGTGGCACAGTGGTTAAGTGCCTGGCTGCCAACCGAATGATCGGCGGTTCATACCCACCCACCATTCTGAGCAAGCAAAGATGTGAGAGTCTGCTTCTGTAAAGATTACAGCCTTGGAAACCTTACAGGGCACTTCTACGTTGTATTGGGTCGCTGTAAGTCGGAATCCACTTGATGCAACAGGTTTGTTTTGTTTTTTGGTTTGGTTAAAATACCCTTCTAATCATCAGAGGCCAACACAAATTCCATTTGCCCCAAAAAGTTTCCTACCTTCCCCAGCCAGAATTAATCTCTACACCCCTATTGTCCAGAATCGCCCATCATGTCTTCCCAATCCTCTCCCCCTCCTTAGAGAACTTGTCCCACCTACCAGCAACCCAGACGGGGCAAGCCTTCTTCTTCTTCTTCCTCTTCTCTGTGACCCAACCCCGTAGGCATAAGTGACTGGGTTATAGTGCAGCCAATTAGGATTTCTCTTCCAGCTCTTGAAATTGATCAAGCAGGCCACATTGGGACACGAAGACATAGGAACCTCTAGACTTGTGTATGGAGCTGGTGCCTTCCAAAGCTGCTTGCGTGCTGCATGCTGAGGCTGTGGAAAGAACAGGAACCAAGGGCCTTGCAGAGGAGAATGGCACAGATCAGCAGAAAGATGGGAGATGCACAGACAAGAGACTGGCGGGGGGCAGGGTGGGCAGGGTAGGAGGTGAGGTGGGGGTAGAGAGAGAAACTGCTCTCCCACTCGCCAGTTTCTGTGAGAGCCCCAGCTGAACACCTTGCAGCTGAGCTGTTCCTAAAGATGCTCCAGTATCCTCTATGTGAATCCAATTTCACTTAAACTAGCCCCAGGCATTTTCTGTTCCTTGCAACCAAATGTCCCTGCCCCTGAACCAGAAGGTTCTGTTCCCACAATACATCACATGTGCCTCTGCTAGAGCACTTACTTTTTTTTTTCTTTTTTTTTGACAAAAAATAATTTTCACTTTATTTTTTTTTGAACGAGACTTTTTTTTTTAATTGTACTTTAGATGAAGATTTATAGAATAGTTCCTCATTAAACAGTTAGTACACATATTGTTTTATGACAATGGTTAACAACCCCACAACATATCAACAGTGTTCCCTCTCTGTCTTGGGTTCCCTATTACCAGCTTTCTTGTCCCCTTCTGCCTTCTAGTCCTTGTCCCTGGACTGTTGTGCCCCATTAGTCTCATTTTGTTTTATGGGGCTGTCTGATCTTTGGCTGAACAGTGAACCTCAGGAGTGACTTCATTAATGAGCTAAAAGTGTGTCCGGGGGCCATACTTTCGGGGTTTCTCCAGTCTCTGTCAGGCCAGTAAGTCTGGTCTTTTTTTGTGAGTTAGAATTTTGTTCTACATTTTTCTC